AAGACGGCAACAGACTAGTTGGACCGCAAAGCACCGAGTTTCGAGACAACATGGACTGCCACGGAAAGAGGTTCTATCTAGAACAGGGTCAACAGTAAATAAAATTTATTGTGGTCAATCGCTCACCAGTGCTCCATCCTCAAGACTGAGACTTGGTGGAAGTGGGCAAGCGAGATCAGACGGGAGGCGGTAATAACGAGTGAGGGTGCCGTCTGTGGGGGGAGTAGCAGCACAGATGATATCGGGGCAAATCTGCTCGGGCGTCAAAAACTAAAATTAGGGTGGACGACCATGCTCGCCTGGTAGCGACCTTCCTTGCAAGCTTCACACTTGCGGCATGTTGCGGCAGGTTCCATAGCCACTCGGTCACCCACCTTGACATTGGTTACGCCGGGACCAACTAAAGAACGAGGGTTGCGACAAATGATCATTCTAAATAAGCTATGGACCTACCTTTCGAGACCACGCCTGCTGATTCGTGACCCAGCACCTGATAGCTAACGATGAGGCTTGGTCATGAATTTCGACAAAAAGTAACTGACCATAGGCTTCTCTACGATAAAATCACCAACACTTCCATAGACAAGAAAATGCACCTGGAAGCGATGATTTGTTGTCCTGGTACAGAAAAAATAGATAGGGGCATACGTCAGTGCCGCAAATTCCATCATCGCCGCGAATGAGCTTTGAGAGAATTACGAGGGACAAAGAGGCTTTGTGAACGCACCGGTCTTCTTCACTTCCACGAGGATCTCATTGGCTTCAACTTCACAAGATAGAACGATTAAGTAAGCGAGCGTGAACTGGTCAAAGATAGTAGTCTTTGAGGTTCACTTCGACGCGGTTTAAGAGCACGAACGGGAATTATTGGTTACTGACTATGAGACAAATGAGAAGTGAACAGGGAAGGTAAGGATTGGCGATGAGTTTTCGGGCGAAGGCGCGTAGCGCTTTCCGGCCCCGGGGAAAAGGACTTAGCCTAGGAGAGTCGAGCTGCGATTCCCAGGTGCTAGGAGTTCGGCGACGCATCGAGCGAGACTGAGTTAGATTCCCAGATTGTAGGAGGCGGACGAGGTACTCATGTGTAGGATTCTCGTCTTTGAGTTTCGTCCTAGCGCGCTGGTGGTATGGTACAACGAAGGAATTCGTCGTGCAAGGTGGGGATAGCTTGCATGTACGGTGCCATAATTTGAGCGTGTTTCCTTAGGTACGCGAGGAACGCGTCACTCGCCCACCGGCCCTTCACTTTGACGACGTCGAAAGGGACGTTTCGCAGCAAGTACTCTAAGGTGGAACCAATACGGATTCCGTGTCCCTGTAGAGGCTCGCGGCCTGCCGCTTTCGTTGCAGAGGCTAGCCTGCTGAGAAATTTCATTTTCGTGAGAGGTCGGTGGGTGCTGTCTTTGTGCCGATATGCGAAAAGAGCGAAGTTGATTGGGGGTTCGTTGACTCGCAGGTGGTTCAAGAAGGCTTCTTCTGGGTCTGATAAGCCTGCTTGCTTGGCCCAGTGAACATCTTCGCCCTCTGGGGCAGACTTTGTTCAGGGTAGATGGAAGTTCTTGGTTGCGAGGTTCTGTCGATCTCGCATGTCTTTGATGCAGTTAGGTGAGAGGTGGAGGTTCGGGTCGAAAGCGTTCAAACGGGGGACAGTGAATTCTCCAACTCTGGCCGTAGCATAGAAGGTGGTGGTGAGACAGGCGAAAACTGAGGCGTCTAATGGATTATCTAAATTGAGTTTCTCCCGTATGGCAATGATGAGATCTGTGGTATATGGTTCGCGTTTGCTGCATCTGGCGTTGACGGGGGTTAGAGAAACAGCTGCTTTCAGCATGGCGTCTATTTCAGCGTCGTTGAGTAACCAGTCTGCGCCATGCACGATGTGCCATGCGCGGACTCCATTGATGTAGTTAGATACCGTTTTTCCTGAATAATTACCGACCATGCACGAAATAAATGTTTCAATCAATATGTTGCTTGCTGGGGCTCTCTGCTCCTCTGGGATGGTCTTGCTATCGCAAAATACGTGGAATACGAGTAGCCCGGATCCATAAGTTTCGCGAGTGCTTTCTGCGTAAGCGTGAACCATCACGTCCCGGATTCGTTCTATGTCGGTAGCGCTCAAGGGGAGGTGTTTGCCTTGCGCGTCTTTCGACGAACGTTTCGTTATTGGCTGCCATAGGTAGAGTCTGTCTTTTGCGGGACAGTGTGGGCGTAGATGGCATGGGTTGGGGGTTAGGCTCGCATTATAGGCTGTGTCCCTGGTTAAGGTCAGGCTCTCGATTGTGTAGTGTCACTTACTAGCTTTCCGACGCTTCGAAGAGCCTGTCTCCTTCGGATTCGAATCTGCGGTTGACGCGATCTCGGCGTTGGAATTCTCTCTCTCCGTGTCTCTCGCCCATTGTGCGAAACGGTTCGATGGGATGGGTGTGGGCACGGGTGCTTCGGGTTGGTTTGTTTGAAGGAGGAAGGGGGGATTCAGAGGCTTCTGCGAGGAAGGGGAGTAGTTCTGGCGGGATTGGGATGGGAGGGAGCTTGTCACATGCAGGGGGATATATTCCGCGCGAAGGGCCGTCTGCGGGGTTCTCTTTGCTTGGTACATACCGTGTAAGAATCTTGCATTTGGTATTGGCAGCAATCCGATGAATTCGTTTGAAGACCTCATTGCATGACTGACTTTTGCTGCAGCCTTTCCACCATCCTTCCACAACTCCCTGGTTGTCGCCATAGACTTTGAAATAAGTTCCGGGGGGACAAGACCTTGCGACTGCCTGCACCAAGAGCTCAAATCCGACACTTTCTGCCCACCCGATGTCGCGACCATCTCTCTTCCAACCAGGTAGGAGTTTCCAAGCTCGCCACTTGCCGTTGATGATGATACCGATCCCATAGCCAGAGCTAGCGTCCGAATAGGCGTTGAAGTCAAATACAACGCATGGTCCTGGGATTGGACGGGTGACATGGGTGGAGCTGAGGGTGCTTTTCCACCACTCAATGTCGTCTGGGGTGTTGCGAGGGGGAGTTCTGGCCATGTGTGGGCGGTCTTCGAAAATGCACAGCATTTTTTCCAAGTTCGTAAGGTACGCGCGGCCAGCTGGTGTGATAAGCGACGCATGTAAGAGTTTACCGTAGAGTTTTTGGACTTCCTGCAGAGTATGGGTCCTCTTGGACTGCCACATTCTGATGGCCTCAAGGTACTTGGTGCGTTTCTTGCTTGACAATGCAACCGTTCGTTCGGCAATGTCCCATACCAGACCGATGTATGGGGGTTCATTACTGAATGGTTTATCTTTCGACAACTCCCAGATGATCCCCATGAGGACGGAAAAGAAGTCGATGTCCTCCATGCCGTGTGTGAATTGTGCCTCTTCGGCTGAACGTGGTGACCTGCCCGAGAGGTCTTGGATGGGGAAATGAGCGTCTTCATCGAATTCCTCTTGTGATCCGTCTGGTAGAGTTTCTCCCCTGTACCATCTACGTCCCCCACTTGTGATGATACCTCCGTTCTTCGTGATTTCGTCAGCCCATAGTCTCCGTTTCCTATTGTACTCCTCCCTGTATTTCTTCTTGATTCGAAAAAATAGGTGGTCATCGACCCATTTTGACAGAGGGCCAATGCCTTTGGATCGGAAAATGTCTGCACCGGCATCAGCCACATTGCCGTATATGCCAGCTGATGGCCCGAAACCAAAACAGAATGCTGTATCGATGGCGAATGCATCTTCATCCAGCCGTATTGCCAGACCTGGCCATTGGGAGTGATGGAGCGGGATTGTTCTGTAGGCTTCGGAAACATCACGGACGGCTCCTTGAGAGCCTGGGGGAAGGTGCCATATTGTTCAGCAGATGGTTGAGAAGGTCCCATATGTGCAAGGAAAGAGGTCGGAGTTGACCTTTGAATTAATAGAGCTAATAGTAGGGGGAATAGGATTGATAGGATAAGATAGATTTTGTACAAGGCGAAATTTCCCTGGTTTGCCAGGTTTCGGAACGAGTGACAATGGAGCCGTTTGGAAATTTCCAATGGCTGATTTGAGATCCTTAGCTGTGAATGGGCCAATGAAACGGCCCTTTGAAAATTCACACTCAACAATTTTCTGAAAGACTTCTCCGTGCTCGTTGATAGAGGTGCTATTAGAGGGCGTGTATGTACATGTAATTGGGGGTATGCCCCCAGAGAAACCATAGACAAGTCCATCTGTGATGGATGGATATTTATCGAGCAGATTCGACTCTGCCAGTAAGCGATGCCAACTCTCTGGGTTATACGGCGTGTGCGCCTTAGCTCTTCTCGCTGCGAGGGCAAGATTGAGCTCCGTGCTCTTTGCTTCCACAGCCTGAGCATTCGTGTGGGGCCTCGTGGTTTGATATCTGGCAGCTCCCTGGGCGCTGCCATTTGTAGCATATAGGGAGGCCTTGAGGGTTGATGAGGCGTCCATCGTCTGCCCGGTGGCAGTGAGTGCTGGTGCTGTCCCACGTGGTTCGAGACTCGCAACGTTGGATGTCGTGAGCGAAGCGGCCGAGACAGAGGGTGCAGGCTGATCGACCGCGGGTGCCTGCGCCCCGAGAAAAACCCCCTTGCCTTTGTTGGTGGTCGCGGGATTTGTCTGGTGAGGACGGTTTGCTTCTCTGGTTGTCTGACCTTCGTGCTGGAGAGCGCGACCGTGAGTTGTGGTTGTGCTGGTCATTGTTGCCCCCGCGAAAGTCCCGGTAGCTGGACTTCCGGTATTGATTTGAGGGCGTCTCTCTGCTCGAGTGCTGCACAGTGACGTGGGTGTGTGCATCCACGTCAAGTTGTGGGCATCCACATTATGGTTGTGGGCATCCGCGTCAAGTGTGCGGGCATCCATGCGAATGGGTATGAGCATCCGCGGGAAAACGTCGCGGGCATCCGCGGGATCAACATCGCGGGCATCCGTGTCAAACGGGGATGTTATTCGTTGTGTGTGGAATTTGGAAGGGGGAGAAAGGTTCATGGATTAGCGGGTCTGCTTGATCTCGATTTAAGACTGGGTACGTACGATGTTCCATGTGCGAGAGCGAACTTTATCCCACAACTCCTCGTTGATTGTCCGAATGAGGTTCTCATTGATGTTACCGATGTTGAAACCCTCGTCGCGTTTGAGACGGTCGTGCCAATCTTGACGTACGCGTGATGCGTATGTCAAGATCACCATGTCACCGATTTCACTGTTGTTTCGAATCGAGTGGTTCTCGAGGTGCCAGAAGAACAACGACAGTGCGTCGATGTTTGGTTGGGGCCACTTGGCTTTGCTGATTTGAATGAGGAATAAGTTCTTTGCTCGGAGGAAAATCGAGAATGATAACTCATGGTCGGCCATGGCCGCTTTCTACGCTTTGAACGCTGAGGTGGGCCGTAGCGTGAGTTGGTCATCTGTCCTCGTTATGCTCATGTCGTTGTCGGCCACTGAGCGTGAAGACTTGAGGGCGTCTTTGCACCCTTCCGGCGAGAAGTACCATAGCTCTACATATTCGAAATTGGTGAGTTTCTGAATTGCGTATTGAGCGGGACGGGGAGTCAGGTAATCTCCTACGGATGATGCGTGCTCAAAGCCGTTCATCTTTGGCTTCTTCTTTTCAGCTTCTGTCCGCTCCCTCTCTGTTTCAGCTTCCCGCTGGGTGCGCTCTTCATTCTCCTGCGCGGTTCGTGCCCTTTCTGCTTCTGCAAGGACTCTAGCTTCTGCTTCTCGGTCTTGGTTCCATTCCGCTACTCTTGCGTTGTGGTCTGCGTTCCATGTCTCCGTGAGACGGGCTACGACTTCTTCTCCAGTCCGGTTTGTGGCAGCTCCGAGGTCTGCGCGAATGCCTGCGTACAGATTACCAGCGAAATCTGGTACCATTTCGAGGTTTGGGTCGACGACTAGAGCCATTGTATTTTAAAATTAGATAGGAATAAGATTGTGTAAATTTTAAGGAAGGTTTCTGGTGTGGAAAGAAAAGAAAGCGAGCAGAGTGAGCTATGCAGCGACGAACAGTGATCGCGGCACGGAAGCAAGAAGCTTGGTGCCGCATCTCTTGTTCGCTCGAAGACCTTACTCTATTTTTTCATTCGTGCCTCTTTACATAATAGAGTGACAAACTAACTCTCTGGAACTGGCTTTTGTTGGATCTCAGCATCCAGGATGCCCTTGAGCACGAATGATGGGTTGTCAGACATGATGGACAGAACAGTCTGTGGAGATTGGGGGGCAGGCTGAAGAAGATAACTGGTTCGCAGGCCTACTACCTGTGCCTAGATCTGCGAAACGTCCGATAACAAATGAGGATGAACGGGCCGTGAAGTTCGAGTTGGAACAAACCTGCACGAAGTTGAAGATTTTTACAAAAGAGCGCAAGAAGGGTTAAGCACAAGTTAACTATCGATGAACAACTCCGAAATGACTTTGTGGTTTATCTAGTTCTAGCAGCACAACAACAGCCTGTGGCTGCCCTAGTAATTCCCTGCCGTGCCAGTAAGGTAAATTCAACATTTTACCTCAGGTCCGAAGATATTTTTCAGTTCGCCATTTCCTCAGTGAGACGTTCGAGTAGAGCGACCTGTTGCGGAGTTTAAACCATATATGGTTTATCGTAACGCCGCTACGGGTGACTGAAGTACAGTGACGCCCGACACCATCACTGCTACTACTTTGAGCTTGCTTCTATACAGGCGCGTGTAAGACATCCCGAGGGATGTAGCTGGCTGCGCATCTATACTTACCATGTGCATAATTGATTTGATGCTGTGTTTTACATTGGTTTTCATCAGAGCCACACCGCGCTGACTATACTTGCGACAGTATCGTCCGATGCTGCGGCAAAGAACAACAACTTGACTTGGAAGGTGCTGAGGAGCACAAAATTAGTAGGTATGGAGAGCAGTGTTAGCAGCCCGGGTGGGACAGGTGACTTAT